TTTAGAAGAAGTGGCCGGCTGTTTCTCAGCCGCCGCATGTTTCCTAGCAGAACCAGGAGAGCTCGCAACAGTCGTCCTCCGGGCCTTGGGGTCCGGCTGTTGGGAAGAAGAAGCTCTTGGAGCGCCCGTCTAAAAAAGAAGAAAAGAGTCAGTATATGCATAAACACAACTCCAAAAAAAGGGTGAAAGGTTCGAAGCCCACCAAGGGTGCCCCCTTGTTGGGGGAGTCGGTTGAAGACTATTGCATTATGGAGGCCCGCAACATGGCCTTCGCAGTCTTGGAGGCGGTAATTTTGCTCATGGCGTCCGTTGCAAAAACAAATAGCAAAGTTAATAAAAGTCATAACAAGAAATGCACGGAACAACAGAGTATTCGACAGGCCGGCTACCTCTTGAGCACCGACTGCTGAGGCCACAGGCGGCCAAAAAGTACTCGTCGTAGAGCCATTTGAAGCTCGGGACGCAGTGCAGGGGTACTTGCTCTCGTACCCCTGAAGTAGAGTTCACCTTCGACTCTACTTTGAAGAGTCCTTTATCTAGGATCTCTTTCTTAGCCTTGGGGGGAACAGGCAGCATGCTGCGGCCGCCTGCAAGAAGGGGCGGATTCCTGTTCCACCTGTTGAAGCGCTTGTTCAGCTCTGTGTCTGAACTCTCAATGATGAGGAAGGTGCTCCGCCAGTCCTTCCATTTGTTTGCTTTACCTCTCGTCATGAGGTAGCCCCTGTGGCTCGTCAATTGATACCAGCCGGTACCGCCTGCCTTAGGGGTCCGGCTGAGGTAGTTCATGTGGGCGAAAGCCTCGAAGCTCGGCTCCACCCCGTGCAGTTCGCACCCGGCTACATAGTCGAGTACGTTGACCTAGGAGTTCGAGGCTAACTGCCATAACCCCAACTCATACCCATCCAAGATCCGCTGAACAACTGGATGTAGTGGGAAGCGCAGCCCAGCCTTGATGGCCGCCTCGTAGCAGCCAAAGCAGGTGCCATCATAACTAGTACCAGCCGGCCATACGACTGTGTCTTCTGGATCCGGCACGAACACTAAAAAGTCGGGGCCCATTGTGTGGTTTGCGATAAAGCTCTCCACTTTCTCTTGCATGGTCGTGATCCGGCCCCGAGGTACCGTGCAGTAGTAGGGGGTATTTTGCTCTCGGTGAGAGGCGGATGGCTCCGCCCAATCGTCCCCCTTCTCAACTGCGTGAGAAAGTCTCGCCTCTTGTAGGCGACTGTTTTTCTCTTTTGTGTCCAGGGAAGCATGGCCAGAAGAGCTAGACTCGGAATCGTCCTCTGACGAGTCCGAAGAGGACGACTCTTCCCCTCTCCCGGAGGGGCCCGCCTCCTCTCCTTTAAAAAGAGCAGGAGAGAATGTAGAATTGTCAACTGTAAAATGGGAAGGGGTCACTTTGACTCCTCCCTCAGAACTCCCGGCTGTCAAGTCGCTTTGTTTCACTTCCACATCTGGCGCCTGGTCAGATGTTTCACTAATCGGCACCCTGTGGGAGGAGCCGTCTGAGTTTGAGATCCTGGCAGTCTTTTTTGTCCTGGCCATCATGCTCTGCATAGACACAGATACAGTCGGACTTTGTATAAAGGGCAAAGATGGGTCCAGAAAAGGGCAGGCGGCACTCCTAGTCCTAGATTCAGCCGTCCCTGGTGACCGGCTGATCACTATCCTAGGTCGTGTCGTGTGCTTCCGTGGTGCCATTTCAAAAAAGAATAAAGTAAAGAGAAAATTAAGAGTAAGAGAACCGACGGTTACCTGAACGAGTGACGATTGATGAAGTTCTGAAAATCCTTTGCAGTCGGCTTGTCAGAGCAGACGGTAGGCAGAAAGGGTCCAAAATGTCTGAGCAAGTTCAGGGGTCCGAATGTTCTCTCACAAAGTTTTCAAGTGTGAAAATGACCGAAGTCAACACTCCTTTATATAGGCAAAGTGAGAAAGCGAAGGGTCACTTCCAGAATTCAAAATTTTGGCGGGAGAATCTCTCGGCCTCTCGCCGAGTGACACCTGTAGCAGGTCGTCGCCTGTTACAAGGCGATACCTGTCACAGGTAACACGTGACCAGTCACGTGCCACCTGTGAGGGGCAAATGATTAGGGGATTTTTCCCCACCAATCACCATCGGACAAGTGGACCAATCAGGTTCCGCCATGTGTCCGTCACATGGGCCAATAGGAGCCTGCCACGTGTCAAGCAATGATCCGTCCACTATGGACCAATTACGACACGACACGTGTCCTTCCCATGACACCTGGGATAACCGGTCACCTAGGCCCAACTTCCGAGGGAAGCCCAATCAGCCCAAGGTTAACCTAAACCTAGATTGACACGTTTCCCGAGGTTATAAATACCTCCCTTAATCCCCATTAAGGGAGATCACGCTAAAAACGTAGATTACACACATTAAACACTCTCACCTAGAGAGACCCAATCACTTTAATTTCCGCATTAATTACTCCTTAATCAAGTACTAACTTGACCGTCGGAGGCGGATCTCCAATCATCCGGAGCATCCGTTTGTTTTGCAGGTACAGGCGTCCGGTTCCAGTCTCGAATTGTAACTCTCTCGCGGGACATCAGAAAACCCCGAAACACTTACGTTTCTACAAACTCATTCAAAGTGGGGGGTTATGTAGACACCTAAAAATGTATCCCCAAAACCAAACTCGATGATGAACAACCTTTCACCACCATTAGTGGTCGGGTCAAGTACTTAATCTCGAGAATGCTAACAGCCCACATTCAGTCAAACACATCTTACAAATCAGTCAACAGATCAATCCTAATGTTTACTCAAAGCATAGTCCAACCATCATTTTAGCCCAAACCCTTTTTAATTCATTTCATTATATTTATTAATTAAGCTCGATTAATAAATATTAGAACCCTAAACCTGAAATAAGTCCAGACAGCTGAAACGGCGCCTAATTAACACGTGCCTGATGTTAAACAGAAAGATAAAAATGAATTTGGACGGAATTCTGGAAAATAGAATTGCCATGTCACGGCAGAAATGTCGCGCTATGCCAATCTCTGTCGTGTCACGGAAAATTGCACCGTGTCCCGACAATTTTCTAGGGTTTACTCTGCGGCGCTTTTCATTTCTAGGGTTTCGTGCATCACCCTACTCATTTCCTCTATAAATACGAGGCTGATTTCTCAGCTTTAGGGCACCAAAAAAATCATTCTCTCTTTCTTTGTTATGCTTTAGCCTAAACACTAGCTTTCCCTATTCTTTCACCATACATCCTTTAAGCACTCCCCGGAGTCCATACTTTACCCGCAGCTCTACGCTTAAACCAAGGCGTGAAAGGTAGAACTGTTTGAGGGTTTGGCCCCAAAATCAACTTTACTTTAATTTAATTTAGTTTCCATTGTTGTTTATTATTTTCCTTGAAGTTACTATTTTTTTTTTTTATAGTTGCAAGCAAACGCAATCAAAGTAAGGAATCATGTTCCTTTTTTTTCTATTATATTTCTAATTATTTTATTGTTTTTTTCACTTATTAATTGTTGTTATTATGGTTAAATTGCTTCCAATGTTGTTGTTTATTCTATTGTTTATTGTGGACCACCATATTGCATGTTAAAGGGAATATGTAATTGAACATAACGTCTAATAAAATAATTTGGATGACCGGTTTAGGTTCCTTTTTTAATCTTATTGTTTAATCCAGTGATCACGATATTTAGAATTATATGATGCATTAATATTCAACCAATTTAGCTTAATAATAGTTTGGAGCAAATTGAATATTTGTTTATGTGCCTTTGAGATTGCATGAATACTTTTCACAATAAGAATCGAGTAGAGGCCAATACGGGCGAATGTGACTCCATGACTCACTTCGTACTACCATCCCTGATCCTCCTTTCGTGATTCTGAACCATATGTAGTTAATAATCTCATGGATTATGAATAGGGTGTAACCTTCACGGGTCAATCATTGTTGCCTTTCGTTGTCCCTTATCGTGGTTGCCTTATAATGATCTGTGAACAGTTTACAAGTTCCTTAAAAACTTGTTGGCAGCTCCCTGCTTTGCTTTGTCTCTAATCGTATGTCAATTCCCATCCACTTCCTATGAGTGTCAAGCATATTCACAATATGTTTACGTAGACGCGCTTCAAATGACACCTATAGGGCTGCAGGTAGGCTTCCGGGGAAGGGGGTAGGGGTAGGGGTGGGTTGTGGGTGCCAGGGAAGGAGAATGCATGGAGGGGGAAGAGGGTTTTATTTTACATATATGGGTTATAGGGTGTTGGCTATGGACGCATGGTGATTGTGTTGTTTTTGGAAAAAAAAATTAATCTGTTAAACAGACCAGCTGTAGGTAGACGAGACTGTTTTGGAAAAATAAAGGTTAAAAGTGGGCTTATTTCCAGATAATTCAGATGTAGGATTGTTTTAAGCAGAAATGATAAAGGTGGAATTATTATTTTCAATATTTTTTTATTTGTAATTTACTTACTATAGCAAAAAAAAGACATTAATGGATAGTGAGTCTCTGTTTTAACTTTATAGATTCGAGTAAGAAATTTGTCTAGAGGCATTGGTATTACATACTCTCTCGGTGTTTTTATTTTCAGAGATAGAATATGTTACATTTGTATCAACTAGATATTTATTTTCAGTGTAGAACATCCTTGACAGCAACTGTCACAACTTACACAAGTACCAGAAAATGGGAAACACAGCACTAAGTAACATGACTAACTTAAAATATTATGTAAGATAATCTAATTACATCGTTTACCCAATTAAAACTCTCACAAGAGGCACATGATACATTAAATTAAATTTGATAATGTTAATTGTAAAAACACGCCAAAGGCGGCTAAGCATTATGTGTATAATGGGCATAGTCGTTAGCCATTAACTGCCCAAATACGAAAATTAAAATGAATATAGTTGAAAATTATAAGGGATGACTATAAAAAAGACCATTTGCAATCGTGAAATAGTATTTATTTCTCATCTATAAAAAGGTCATGTACTTTCTTTGGAAAGATCATTCTAAGTTAATTCTCCATTATCCGAAAAATAACACAAAAAAGATTAATTATGGAAGCTTATAAAATTTTCATATCATATGTTGCCCTTTTGGCTATTACAAGCTATGTGGTTTACGCTACCGATCCGAACCAGCTGCAAGATTTTTGTGTAGGAGTGAATCAACCTCTTGAAGGATGTACGTGCATATTTCAGTCTCAAAATCACATAATCTTAGTTTATTTTTTGATATATTATTGTAGGTTGTTATTTTATTTTATCAATATAGAGTTATATACTAACATGCATTAACGTAAACTTTGTGGTTTTGTATTTTTTTGCTACAGTGTTTGTAAATGGACTGTTCTGTAAAGATCCAATGAGGGTTAGTCCGGATGATTTCTTGTTCCGAGGACTAAATCCGGGGGACACAGACAACAAGCTAGGGTTCGCGGCAACAGTTGTACAAGCAACAAATTTAGGAGGTCTTAACACACTTGGGATATCACTTGCTAGGCTTGATTTTGCACCATATGGTCTTAACCCTCCACACACACACCCCCGAGCCACTGAGATATTCACGGTGTTGGAGGGGACCTTCTATGTAGGTTTTGTGACTTCAAACCCTCCTCAAGGTCCAAACAAACTCTTTGCTAAGTTGCTTAACAAGGGAGACGTTTTTGTTTTCCCTCAAGGTCTCATTCATTTTCAGTTCAATGTTGGCCGTACACCCGGTTTTGGTATTTCAGGGTTAAGTAGCCAGAACCCTGGTGTAATTACAATAGCTAACGCGGTGTTTGGGTCTCAACCGCCTATTTCTGTTGACGTTCTAGCCAAGGGTTTTCAGATTGAAGATAATTTGGTCAAGTATCTTCAGGCTCAGTTCGGTATGGGCAGCTACTAATTAGAATGAAGAGTCATGCTCTTAATGTTGCAAAGGGTTTGACAAAATAATAAATAGTGTTCGTTCTCTAGTAATTTCAGCTTATAATGTTCCAAATCAAAATATTTGTAAAAGCTTTGCTATAGTATGGAAATATATCTACTGAAAATAAAGCAACAAGAACGTAATACAAAGTCGAAAGTATTTCTGTTACATCTTCCTTTACTTTCTAATTAATCAAAATTATTCATATATCCCATGTACTATTTATCAAAACCTCAATTCCACGATAATTGAACTTGACGCATTTGCCAACATCATAGTTTGACCAATTAATATACTTCCTCTGTTTTTTAATTATTGCACCACTTTCCTTTTAAGAAAGTTTCACATATATTACACCATATCTATTTTAGGAAATAAAATATTTGTGTTCACACTACAAATATCTAGTATACCCTTACTTTTAACACTTGATTCTTTAATTTATGTTTACATCACATGGATACTTTTGTACTTTTACCCCTCTCTCTCTTCCTTTTTCCCACTTCTAAAATAAGTGTATCCAACCTATATGGTGCAATAATAAAAGAATAGAGGAAGTATATAATTAAATATTAGTAAAAACTTTTTTTAAGAAAATTGATTTTATGAAACTTTATATTCTAACAACATTTTTAAATGACCATATTTATTTTAATACATTTATAAGAAAATTAAAAATTATAATTAGTAGTCGAAATTATTTCGTAAAAAGTTAAATTGTGTCAGTTATTTGTCATATTATATCTCTATTATATAAGTGAGGGGGGAGAGGAAAAAAAAATTAGTGTCCACTTTTCAACTACTCAATTTCCCCCTAAAAGCACTAAAAAATAATTAAAATAAATGCAAAATTTTACATAATAATTACAATTTTCAAAATTTCACCATAATTTAAAATCTTGTTTAAATAAAAAAAATGTTATAAAATAAAATCCAAAAAATTGTAACAAAAATATAATAAACACTAGATTAATCTTGTACGATGCACAATTTTGACAAATAAGTTTGTTTTATTGTCACAATTACAAAGTTATAGGACTAAATTTGGATACTACTTAATACACTATATTTTCAAATTATTAAAAAAATGAATAGTAAAATAGATGACCAAAAATTTCAATTAAAAAAATGTTAAAAAAAAAGTGATGACATCAGATATAATTTAGGCGGGAAAATTTTCTACCACAACTTGAAATGTGTACATTTAGGAGAAGGTATGATGTCAGCGGTTGCTATTTTATTAATATTTATACATTAGTCACCATATTTGCATTATTCCAAAAATAAAAAAAATACATATGAGACTAAAATCAAATCAAATAAAATACTACAAGTATTACCATGTAAATGAATTTCAGTGCGGTTTATGTGTGGCTGACCACACCGTGCCCCGAGGTTACTTATTCATGAGTTACTTATTCAGGGGTTACTCAATCAGGTGTTACTTGGTCAAGGGTTACTCGTGTAGGGTTTCGTAGTGACCCGACACTACACGGAAGGAAACCCCCAAGACCCGCCCCTTAATTAAAGCAATTAACAAGCATAATAAACATAATAAAGCAAGACTAAGAACAAGAATTATACCTTTGTTGCGTGCTTCGCTCCCGAAGAGCTCTTACTTCAAAATCCCGAAACTACGAGATCTCCAACGGATCATACCCTCGACCCGACCCGAGCGTCCCAAGTATTGAAGGTTAGTCAAGACCCGGACAAATAAAACTATGAGTTTTACGAATCAAAGGTTTACTCTAATTACAAGAGTTGCCTTTTTAATTCCACTCAAGGTTATGCATATCCCAATACCCTTAAAAGGTATTTATAGGTAAATGGGTCCTTGGTTTTCAATCTCCCATCAATGTGGGAGAGCTGGTAAAATCAACAATTTATTTAATTCCAAATTAAATAAATAATCAACTTATTCACATTGCGACAAGTGGCATAATCACATGCTAATGAGTGATGGCCAAGGCTAGGTGGGGGGACCATTTGCCTTGCTCCATAAGGCCCTTGATTGGTCCCCACAAGCAAGCACAAAACAGGCATGTGGCTGCTAGGCTGGCAGCCAGCTACCGTGCCAGCTAGCGCTGCCAGCTAGCACTGCCCAGCAGCATCCCAGCCAGCCAGTGCTTGCTAGGCAATGCTGGCGCTGGTGCTGTGTGCTAGCGCCTAATGCTGCTAGCACATTGTGTTGGTGCTGGCCCCAGCAGCCCACGCACTGGCTGGCAGTGCATATCACACGCATAGCACGCACCAGCCTTGCATAGCACGCACCAGCCTCGCACCCACGCACATGCGCCACACGCATTGCTAGCCTAGCCTGTGCGCCTGCACACGCAAGGGCCTAGCATGCGTGCTCGGCGATGCTGCCAGGCACCCTCGCACTAGCACACCCACGCCAGTGCCTAGCACTGCTATGCTTGGTGGGAGGCACGCACACACACACATGCGCATGCGCTAGTGCCTAGCACTGCGATAGCTGTTCTTAGTGCGTGTGTGGCCCTGCCATGCGCACCCAGGCATCTAGGCAAGCACGCTGCTGTGCTGCGATGGGCTGCTTGGTGCTCCTGGTGCGCCTAGGGCTTGCGATGGGCTGCCTGGTGCTCCTGGTGCGCCTAGTGCTAGCTATGGTCAGCGATAGTGCCCAGGCATCATGCAAGGGCTGCGATAGCGCCTAGGCATGATGCTAGGGCTGCGATGCTGCCCAGCCATCCTAGGGCACGCATGGTGCGCCTAGGCATGGTTCTAGGCCTAGTATAGCCTAGCAACCCACATGGCTAGGCCAGTGTGGTGCTAGGGCTATGTTCATACTTGTCGCTTTGTGATTTTGCGACGCTTGGTCTCGACGCCCTAGGCTCGATATCCGACGTCTGTATTGGTAAAACCCTGTCGACTCATTAAATCCTTTCGGATTAATTCGTCGTCTCGAATCGGTGATTTGATTGGGTTCGACCTAGGCATTCCGATCACTTGATCTTACTGAAGAATTAACTCTGTAATAATTCTGAACCATCTATCGGAAGAATACACTTGTTGGAAGGACACCATTCCTTTCAATCTCCCACTTGTTCTTCCGGACAAGTGTGCATACAGTGTATAGCCCATTTCCTATGTCTCTTAATGTTTCTTCGTGAACTATAAGGTAAGATTCATCGTCATCCTTATTACGTTCAGAAGTGTTTCACGATCTCTGAGTTCAACTGTCAATAAGCAGATGATTTCTAAAATCCATCTGAGCACGGCCATGCATTTTCACAGTCTCGCTCTTCGAGCGGCCTTGTAAACAACAAAACATTTTTCCTTATAGTTAACAGGGGGACAATCCCAGTCTTGCATTGTAAGTTCCTCTTACTAAGAGGACTTAGTCTCCCGAGTATTCCCGTTATGATCCCTAGTTACGGCAGAAGTTAGGAAACATCAAAGAGTCTAGTACTCAAACAAGAAAACTTCACAATACTCATTGTCGGAGGAAACAGGTTCCTATAGTCATAATGAGAAATGTACTTATGAAAATTTTGAAATTTCTTAAAGTACTCTCATAGGTCTTATCCAGTACAGTTCCAAACTGTACCTGTGCAAAAGATTTATGATTGTCACGTCATCGCAGCACAAGAAACGATGCTGTAAATCATACTACACACAAATCTATGGCGGTCATCAATCGTCCATCTGTTATATGACCTCGATTAAGGACAATTTTCGATTTAAATATTCAATGTTCACTTAACAGGTGTTTCTTTATCCAGGACATGGTCTTGATACCCTGTTTTGAATATTTCCGTAAATCGAATGGACTCATTATTTAATTCTAAACCACAATTAAATAGTAATGGAGTGAATGATAATTTTGCACAAAATTAATTACTCCATAATGAATGGTTTCATTACAGTGTCTTACATTAAACATCGTATTTAATTAAAACACATGTACAGGGAATTTCAAAGCTAGTCTCAAACATGCTTGATTCCCATCACCTCAATGTGCTTGTTGTGTTTCACCTGAGGCAGCAGTTTAGTCAAAGGATCGACCACATTATCATCCGTGCCAATTGTTTGGGGTAAAATTACCCCAGCCACGTGGCCCAATGGCAGCGCGACACGTGGCATTTTGCTATTGGTCAGCAGGGCTCCAATCCCCTGCTGACACGTGTCCTAGGAGCCCTAAATGGGGAACCAATGCTCCCCACTATAAATAGTGGGGGAGTCCTCATTAATGGGACACACACAATCAATTGGCATTCAATACTATCATAAATACATTTTACACAAAAACTGAGCAACCTTAATTGCGGAATTCTCCCATTACGTGAGAAGTAATTACTCTTTTACGCACTTTCTTCCTCCCGTACATCACTGACTTGATGGTCGGAGGCGGAGCTCCACCAAACCGGAGTCTTCGTGGTTTTGCAGGTACAGGCGGTCGAAGGGCATTCTTGGAATTGTAACTCTCCCGCAGGACACATCAAAAAACCCTAAAACATTTGGCGCCGTCTGTGGGGAGAGTACTTCTGAGATGGCTTCTAACCCTGTACCACCGGATCAGGACAGGCGGCCATCTGTCGAGCCTGAGGTCCAGACGGACCATGAAAGCGGTGATGAGTACGAACTCAACACCTATGTGGCCCCAGACGGGTCCTTCAGAACAAAGCACACCCGTTCCAGGGATAAGAAGGAATGAGAATACATCCAAGCTGCTCCAAGCAACCCAGCCGGCAACACGGTTAGGGCTGCCCAGGCGGCAGAGGATTCTGCTCCCGTTACTAGGAACGAACTCATGACCTTCATGAATAGTTTCAAGGGCGAGATCCAGAACCTCATTCGGTCAGCTACTCCCAAGAAGAGTCAGTCGGCCAAGAAGCCTTCTTCTAGCAAGAAGGCTATTAAAGACCGGGTCCCTACCCCTCATCCAAAGCCGAAGGAGGGGGAGGGCCTCAAGTTTGATCAAAACCGGCTTCGCTTCCCGCAAGCGGAACCCAGAAAACCCATCCGGCATTTGCAGTCGGATGGTTCAAAAAAGATATTCTCTGACGCCCGGACATTTCTCCAAGAAAAGAGAAGTCTGGCGTCTACGTCGGCTTCAACGTCGACCTTTCCAGACAGTTTCCATGACACCTCTAACAGGCGTACGGGAACAAGTCTAGGGAGTCAGACGGGCGAACCATCCGCCCGGT